CCGCACATCTGGGCTCTTTAAACAAGGCTGCTGGCCTGGCTGAAATACTCGGGCGTCAATGAAAGTCACCTATCAACTTAGGGTAGTGCCTAAAGATTACTTGGTGCGGCTATAAGTGACCGTTAAATGAAATGATGAATTTTTGACGGATTTTGAAAACGGAAAAAATGACAGTCATGCCGGCCCAGCATCATCAACATTGAAAAATGCCCCGGCATGAAGTAGTTAAAGTAATGGATTTATGAAAATCAAACCACGTAAATGTAAGCCAGATTATGCGCATACATCTACCTAAATGACATGAAGATTTTATAAATGGAGTCATTAATGGATGGAAATTTTTTAATTTGAAATTGTTCAAGGCAAAAAAGATTGAATGGCTCTCAAGTTTGTTGATTTGTGACGTAAATGACCCTCCTCACCCCAAAATTCAATTTTTGTTTAAAAGTAAAATTTTCAGCTGGGAGCATTTGTTAAAAAGCTGACCAGGGTGAGTCACAAAATGTGTCAAAAGTGTGCCACAGGGTGTGTAACTTGATGTGTCAGGAAGTATTACAGACAGTGTGACTGAAAAGTGTTGTGCTGTTCTTAAAAATTCAAACAAAAGATGTCCGCACAGTGCATGTAGACAAGATGCACGGACTTGCCCAGGTAAAAGATGCACAGACTTGCCCAGGTGCCTACTAGGGTCTCCCCTCCCTCCCTCCAAAAATATTTTTTGCTTATCTGTCAAAAAATGAAAATAAACATTTATGGAAATCATTTATGGAAATTGCAGGTTGAAAAGCGTTCACAGTGCGAGTGCAACCAAAATTTTCTTTGCTTTTTCTTGAATACATGAAACTAAAGGATAGGTTAACACAAGGTTTTTAACCTTGGCATGAATTTTTTCCATACCTCTCTTTCTCAGCCTTATTCTTGATGCTCTTGTCGTGACTGACCAACTTTCTGGATTCCATCGACGTCTTGATCTGGTTTGCTTCAAGCTCCTTCATTTCCCTGTTTGAATAACAAAAGCAATCAACAATATTTCACCAACTGCTGAAAGTATTTCCCCTCAAGCATAGATTCAATAAATCAGGGAACCCACAGAGGCAGATTAGAAGGATTTTGTGAGGCCGTTCAGTGTTGCAGACAAGACCATCGCAAGACACAAGACCTTTCACTAAACCAGTAACAAGTAACAGGGTGAACAATGATAATGGAATGCTTTTGTTGCAGTTCATTTCAATGGCTGGTGACTTCACTTCACCGTCAATTCCCACTAGTACTGGAGGTCTCATGTTGGTCTCATGGTGGTCTTAACCACTTCCTGCTGGGGACTCCAGAATCGGAGACGTATGGTTTATATGCGTGGCCGGGGTCTCCGAACTCGGACAAAGGAAACAGGGCCCTGTAACAAAAGACCATACTCTGAACAAAAGACCAGGCTGCTGGGTATTATTGACATTTTTCCCTTTCAAAGTGGTGATAATCCAGCCTTGTTTTGAAACTGTATAACAGGGTTTGGGGCATTGAGAGTGAGCGGATTACCACTGGGGACAAAAGCGCTCCACCACCGCAGTGATGAGCCACACAGCGCCGCTGCACGCTGATCTGGCCCCTATTGAAAAGAGGTCAGTAGTGCACTGAGCCAGGTTCGTGAACAAAAGAAAGTTACATAACACCGCACAATCTGGGCTCTTTTTACAAGGCTGCAGGCCTGGCTGAAATACTCGGGCGTCAATGAAGGTCACAAGTCAACTTAGAGTAGTGCCTAAAGATTACTTTGTGCGGCTATAAATGA